GGAGGAGGAGGGGGAGGAGTAGGAGGAGGGGGTGGCCTCGCTGCTATGCTTGCCGGGGCAAAGCCTCTGAAGAAGACTGGAAAGGTGAGTGAATAAATAACGTGTACCACTTAATTGTTTTACATTACAATTTTCCTAAAAAATAATAATAATAATAGTAATAATGTTATACTACTATATAAAATGTGCATATATGAAGTTTTTATTTGTGCGCATTTATCGTCTGACGAAAATTAAATTTGTCAGATACCTACAATCAAAATCGCTCTACAAGTTTAGTAATATTATTAATGGATAAAATATTTTCGATACGATTGATTTACAATCGTCTACGATGAGTTCCGTTTGTTATGTTGAGTAACCATGACGTCCCCATGTTGTCTGGCAGGCGAGTGAAGGAGGAGGAGGAGGTGGCAGCGCAGCAGGTAACGGAGGGAGCAAACCACCGATCGGCGGCAGCAGCGGCGGTAACTTTATGAGTGAGATGCAGGCGACGCTACGCAAGCGACTCAAGCAAGTGGAGCAGGTGGAGCCGACAAACGTACGTGCCTGCAGGGGGCGCCACACGTGGCGGGGGTGCCATGTACGGTGCAGAGGGTGCCACAAGCAGTTTAGGTGACCGCTGTTCAGACTAGGTTTTAATAGAATAGCCTCGGCTGAAACGCTCCTCTGCCGAAAGCAAACGATCATAGGTGTGGTAAATTAACTCAGTAATTCGTTGAGTGTTTGGTTATCAACATGCTTATGTATATAAGCAGGGGACGATCGGTTGACAAGGTGGTGTGCAGCAGATAGTGTACCCAACCTTGGCTGTAGATTTTGCTCGATTTTTCCGACATGATCGCTTAGACGTTCTCGTGTTTACTCCCCAGGAGGGTGATTCAGTGTCGCCGAACGAATCTTCCACGCCACCTGCTGGTGAGTCACAGGGTGATATACCCATACCGATCTCTGTAGCCAGGTTCTGTTACTCGTGAGTGAATCACAAAACTGCCTTGATTGCACCTATACCTATATATATAGTTAACATATTAATAATAATGATAGTGATAGTAATAATAATAGTAATAATAATAATACTAATAATAACAGTGGTAGTAATATTAGTGATAGCAACTTAAAATAACGTATTAGTAACTCCTGGAAAACGAACAAAACTATGTGTAAACGTAGTTACAGTGACAACGTGCTTCGTTCCCTGCTTCTAGTTAGTGTCTTCTAGCTGTTTACTACTGACACGTCGATTGTGAGGTGGCGTATGGCTACGTATGCGGCCTTGTAACGAACAGACGAGTCAATAGCAACGGCGTTGTCTCTGTGTGTTCCAGAGCTAGAGAAACCATCTTGGAAGAAGAATAGTAATGGCAGCAGCCCGGTGAAGACCGTGCCACCTGCGTTGAATGGCTTGGAATCTCCGAAAGCTGCTAAAAAGTAAGCATATGATTCATTCTCATTCATTTAACTTGTCAGAATATCTTTGTTCACTAAGTCAGGATGTCTTGGGATAATTAGGATGTTTCTGAATACTAAATTAGGATATTTCTGGACGTTCGCGCCTTATAGTGAGTGAAACACGTTCTTTGCTGTTTCTCTGTGTTTCTCACTTCTTTCCGATCTTTTCCTATGTTTGTTTCTCCAGCCTGTCCCCCTCTCTCTGTTCCTCGATCCCTTCCCATCCCTCCCTCCTCTCCATCATTTTTTTCCTCGCTCCTTCTTTACGCTCTTCCTCTCGTCGTCTCTTCCTCCTTCCCATTTATCCACCCATCTCTCCGTCTTTCCCTCTCTCTCTCTCCCTTCCACCTTTACTCTCATCCTCCCTCTCTCCCTCATCTTTTCTCTCTTCCCTTCTCCCTCTTTCTTTCTCTCGCCTCGGTAATAGTTCATAATGTGCTGTGTGTCATATAATCTTCTCCGCACGGGCGCGTCACCCCAGTAATCATGGGGTGTTAGGCGAGAACATCTCATGCCGTCGCCTCTCGATTCGACGGGGGGAAGGTCGCGCGTTAAGTGGAGGTTCTGTCGTGTGTGCATGCGCGACTGGTGATGGGTGCAGGGAGGAGGCGGCGGTGGCAGCGTGCGGGGGGGGGGAGTGACGGGGCCCGCCGTCGTGCACTTCATCTCCCGCTACGACCTCAAGTTTCGCCGCCGCCGATCGACGCTATCTCGCTAATCTGCAATTTTGAAGACGATTCACATGTGCATCTCTCTCCCGCGCGCGCGTCGGCCCCGGCACTTAGAGGGAGCCTTGGTGTCCCTGTCATTAACCTGACGTTGGTGCGCGGGGGAGGTGGGTGCGAGCGCGCCTCATTGGTCGCAGCGGTGACGCGGCGGCGGTTTATTAGCGCGTGCGAACGGCGTCGTGCGACGAGCGCGTCACAGATCTTTCGCCGCGTCTTATGTGCACATGTGTGAAGCTGGTGAGTAGCGTTGATGCTAAATGCAATGAATTGAATAGCATAAATTAAAAATCGCATTTTACCGATTTTTTTCCCGATTTCTTGATGACAGCTTTGCTATTGTTTCTGACTTTCAGTAATTCCAACCATCAGGCCGTTGGTGGCGCCACCAGTGCCTCCGGGAGGTCTGCCGTTCCAACAACCGGAACCAGCAGGGAGTGAAGACGATGACTTTAAGGCTGAACAGAAGTCAAGGTAATGGTAGTAACGGCAGACGACCATGCCGCTTCCCATCTTAATTCAACATGCTAGCGTCTATACTGCGCAATGTTTGAAACAAATTGTTAAGAAATAACTATTGTGACAAATTTATTGAGTGGTTGTGGATCTGCTTCTACTGCATTAGTATTAAGTGTTGCAGAGCAGATGAAAGCCAGTAAGATGAAATCTTAGTATGTTATGTCCAACTGTTAATTTTGTTGTAAAGTTTCTACAGGAATCTAGCATTGCATTAAGGTACAGAAGAAGAAGAAGAATGAATAAAAAAAATATTAATAATTATAAAGAATAAATAAGATAAGATAGGAAGGTCTTCCTTCAGTGTTTGGTGTTGGGTTTGAAACTCGGCAAGAGTTTTTATGAGAGTATATTAACCGTAATCAGAATTGAGTACCGGGTGGATTTTACTCGGTCTTTTCGAATGCACGTCTCGTGACAACGTGCGATATTGAAGTTTGTCGTTTGTTTTCATTTCAGGAGTGTGGTGACGGTACAGACCACTCTGCCTGCCGCTCCCTCGCCTCCCCTCGCCCCCGCATTCCGACCCTCCCAACTCCCCGCCCCCGCAGCACCCGCCCCGGTGCACGCACCAGCATGTCCGACCCTCCCAGTTCCCCCTGCCCCTCAGCCCCCCCCCCTGCAAGGCACACCAGCATTGCCGACCTCCTTCCGCCCCCGGCGCCTCCAGCGCCGCCGCGCCCCGCCTGCGGCCCTGCACCGCCCGCGGGGGCGCACCTACCGTCTCCAGTGGCGCCCCTCCTCCTCCGCCGCCGCCCCCCGCTCCAAAGCATTGATGGGCTGATGCCGGAGGAGGAGGGGGAGGCAGAGGAGGCAGGAGGTGGCCTCCGCTTGCTAATTGCTCGCTGCTGGGACAAGCCTCCTGAAGAAGACTGCGAAGGTGAAGTGAATAAACGAACGTGCTACACTTAATTTGTGTTACATTACAATTTTCCTAAAATAATAAATAATTAATCATGTAATATAATGTTATACTACTATATTAAATTGCTGCATATGAAGTTTCTTATTTGTGCGCATTATATCGTCTGACGAAAATTAAATTTGTCAGGTATACTACAATCAAAATCGCTCTACTAATGTTTAGTTAATCATTATATAATGGATTCTTTAAAATCATTTTCGCATACCGATGATTTTACAATCGTCTACGATGAGTTCCGTTTTGTTATGCTGAGTAACCATGACGTCCCCATGTTGTCTGGGCAGGCGAGTGAAGGAGGAGGAGGATGAGAGGAGGCCAGCGGCAGCAGGTAACGGAGGACAAAACCACCGATCGCGGCTAGCAGCAGCGCGAAACTTTATGAGTAAGATGCAAGCGACGCTACGCCAAGCCGACTCAAGCAAGTGGAGCAGCGTGGAGCCGACAAACGTACTGTGCCTGCAGGGGGGCGCCACATGGGGCGGGTGGCGGTGCCTATGTACGGCCCGCAGAGGGTGCCAACAAGCAAGTTTAGGTACCGCTGTTTCAGACTAGTTTTAATAGAATAGCCTCGGCTGGAAACCGCTCCTCTGGCCAGAAACAAAACGCATCATAGTTGATTGCGTAAATTAACTCAGTAATTCGTGAGTGTTGGCTTATCAACATGCTTTGTATTATAAGCAGGGACGATCGGTCGTGACAAAGGGGGTGTGCAGCAGATAGTGTACCCAACCTGGGTGGCTGTGATTTTGCTTCGATTTTCGACATGATCCTTAGACGTTATCTGCGTGTTTACTCCCCAGGAGGGTGATTCAGTGTCGGCCGAACGAATCGGCCACGCCAACCTGCTGGTGAGTCTCAGGGTGATATACCTACCGATCTCTGCTAGCCAGGCTTCTGTTACTCGCTCGAGTGAATCCAAACTGCCTTGATATACCTATATATATAGTTAACATAGTAAGTGTGATAGTATAATAATAGTCAATAACAATAATACTAATAATAACAGTGTAGTAATATAGTGATACAACTTAAAATAACGTATTAATAACTCTGGAAAACGAACAAAACTATGTGTCAAACGTAGTTGCGGTGACAACGTGCTTTTGTTCCCTGCTTCTAGTTAGTGTCTTCTAGCTGTTTACTACGACACGTCGATTGTGAGGTGGCGTATGGCTACGTATGCGGCCTTGTAACGAACAGACGAGTCAATAGCAACGGCGTTGTCTCTGTGTGTTTCCAGAGCTAGAGAAACATCTTGGAAGAAGAATAGAATGGCAGCAGCCGCGGTGAAGACCGTGCCACCTGCGTTGAATGCTTGCGAATCTCCGAAAGCTGCTAAAAAGTAAGCATATGATTTCATTCTCATTCATTTAACCTTGTCAGGATAATCTTTGGTCACTAAGTAGGATGTTTGGGGATAATTAGGATGTTTCGAATACTAAATTTAGATACTTCTGGACGTTCGGCCTTATAGTGCGGTGAAACATACCCCGTCCGTGAAGCGGACTCCCTATTTATGCGGTGCCTCGAAAAATGTGGTTAAGTTGTCGGTATCGAACAGTTTGAAGCAAACTTTTGTGTTTATCCGATATGGTATGTAAATAGAAGATCACAAGCTGTAGTTCGTTAAATTTCGTGCACTTATGAGAAAATGAAAATACAAATATAGAACTATTTCATCTATCTTGAGGAGGTGAAGAATCCATGTCAAATGTGAAAATAGCGCTAGAATGTTTCCTAGCCCGTTGTCACAAGCTCCATAAGATATGCAGCGACACTGGCAGCGTACCAGTCTACGTTCTACCCCTTATACCGTCTACAGTCTACCGCTGCTACAGGTCGTGCTCCGCAATGCCGTAGTGGGGAGACAATACTGTCAGCCCGCATCGCACCGAATTTTACCGCTGTTCATTCGAATATACATTTCAACAACACGGTAGCCTTATTTACTCCGAAATTACACATCGTTAACGAGGGTGCAAATGCTTAGTGGACTCTACTATGACTGTTCATCAAGGCGCAGCGGACTGGGAAATAAGGGACAGCTGCGGTGAAATAGACTATATATACTCGCGCGGTTCGTAACATGCCACCCTGAGGTGGAACACTTCTCTGTCACCTAGTCTTTTCTTTGGATCGTGCGCTGGCTGCATTATGGCGCATGGATCACCAAGTTATCTTTTCTTTTCCCTCTGCCTTGCGCTCGCTTCTCTTCTATGCGCGGCCAGTGCTCCATCTTCCATATCATTTCAGTTACACTTGCATCACTTCCACTGGATAATAAGTAGGATCTTTTGCTATACCGAGTCCGGATATTTCGCTCTAGACCTACCATTCGTACACCTACTTTAGTAGAAAACACACTGACATTGTGGGCAGTGTGACACCCAGCTCTAATCGTGTAGTCCTTCGCTCCGTACAGGGAAACGTTGTCCCAAAAATTTAGAAAAATATTTACAACATACCTCGAAAACGTCGCAACGTTTGAAGCGATTCGTCGACTGTTTACGACGACTGGGTACCAGGTGTCCGCGGCCGCGTGCGACGTTGCCGCGACGACGCTCTCGTTCACGCTCGTCTGCTTCCATAGATTCCAGGTCGGCTCTGCCATTAGCTCCTCCTGTGATCTCCTGACATCGAACGGTCCCGGGGACATGGCTCCGGATCTGGAGCAGCTCAAGCAGGAAATCCTGGAGGAGGTGCGGCGCGAGATGCAGAAGGTCAAGCTAGAGATCATTGAAGGTGAACAAGGTTGCTGATGATGTCACGTGAAGTGCGTACCTGCGTGTGTGCGTGCGTGCGTGCGTGCGTGCGTGCATACGTGCATGCGTGCATACGTGCATGCGTGCGTGCGTACATGCGTGCGAGTGTGTGTTTACCTCGGTGGCTGTGTACAGATTGGCATCATAATTACCTCTACTTAAATGTATGCGTTTATGGGATCATTCATGTGCCATTTCATATGTTCTGCGTCTGCAGCCTTTCTGCACTCGTCTGCACACATGTGCAACTAGAAACATAACAATGAGTAGTTCACTAGATGCTATAGTTTGGGATAAACTACACGCAACGAGAGATCCGTATGGCACGCGCACACACATACCCACAATCCTCCACGTAAATTTGCACTGCATCTTCTGTAGTGATTTGTAGTAAGGGATAGTCGCCGAAGTAAGGAAGGAATGGATGCTTGCTTGCCCGCATGCATGTACATCAATGTCTTGGCAAAGGAAAGCATTTCGAGACTCTGACGCTCTTTCTTGCAGCAATCAAGGAGATGGGTAAGCGATAAAATCGTGCCACAACGTCGTTCGCCGCCAGGTGGAGCCACGCACACAGTCCGCTCGAACGTCGGCTATCTCCGGGGTTGTCTCCGACGACACTGCCGCCTAGTAGCAACACTGCAGCTTTCAACTCGTCACGTCGCAGCTATCAGTCTCCCACGATGTAAGGAAGGACGTGTGAGATCGGGTGAGCGTATGATTTCTCACCGGCGCGCGTGCACGCGAATCCTCGTGCGTCGTCGAGGTCATACGTTCGTAGCGGGCGGTGTTAGTCTGACCGCTTCGCCGTTAGTCCGGCAACGCCTTACCGTAACTGACTCCTTCACCGTTTCTCTCCTTAATTTACCAGAATGCAAACGCTTGATCACGTTTATGATTGCGTGCAACGATTAGTGTGTGTGAGGGCGAACGAAATGCCGACCGTTCAGTCGCGAATGCATGCATATAATTTGGCGGCGGGGTGTACGCGCAGGCGGGGACGCAGCATTCACAGTTGTATCACTGTAAATAATGTTGATAATGACGAGTGGGCACTGCGGTCGATTTTTGTACAAAGTGCCTAAAATCGCTGGTATATCACGTTTTTGCGATAGTTTTGCGGCAGTGCACTAACGTGCGCGCGAGAGAGCGAGAGAGTGTTCGCGTGTGCATTGTGTCACGATTTGTGATGAGTAATTGTTATAAGGCTCGTATCGCATTTGGACGTTATTGACACAAACACAGACACAAACACCTACACACACACTCTCTCACACACACACACACACACACACACACACACACACACACACACGCACACACGCACACACACACACACACACGCACATACGCTCACACACTAACACAGTATTACTCCTCGCGTGATCTAGTAATGAAGCAAGGCATCCAGGGTATAAGCCGGAATAGGTGATTCTCTTTACAGTCAAACCTGTGTTAGCAGGCACCTCTATAGAACGGTCACCTGTCTATAAAGAAAATCTTTTAGGCTTTCCCTTAAATGGCCCTTATATGCAGGTTTGCCTGTGTTATCATTATCCATCATTACAAATGTCATATTGTCAAGTTCAGTGCTGACTGTAATATGCTGTCTGGGACTAAATAGGGTAAGTTAATTATGTCAGGCGGGGGCTGTAGGGGGCACCACCTGTCGAACCAGTATTTCTGCGTATGGCCGGAGACAGTAGAACATGCATTCTGATTACTGAGGGCAAAGTCGCCATTTGTTATGTTTAATTAACGCATTATTGTGTACATCTCGCGTCTCTTCAATGCGCAACAGGTAATGCTGAATTCATAGACCTGCCTCTATACGTCCCAATGGGTAAAAACACGTGGCATCTGGTGCCATCTGTAGGTACGAAACGAAAGCATCTTGCAAACTGGAATGCCAGACGCGTTCCGATAGCTTTCTCACTGCGGCGTGTTGCCAGTAGTAACTAGTGTAGCTGTGTTCTAGTAATTTCTTCATCCCAAATGAAGGGTGCGTGTGTATAGCAAGAGAGGTGGCGATGTGTTGAGACATCATTATGCTTGACCAACAATCGATCGATTCTACCGGACTGTGATTTTCATGTAATTGGGAGTAAATAATAACATCGCTATTATTATTAATAAAACTAATAATATTTACCTATTATTTACTCCTGACGTAGTCGTAGAACGCTGCTCCGCGCATGCGCACGCGCGGGCCGTTACAATTTCTCGGCTTTTTGTAAGATGTCTGTTGTGTTGTCATGGTAACGCATCAGCGTATGCTCGTGTCGGTTAATACGCTAGCTCAGCAGTGTTAACGTAACACACCACTTCACGCAGCGTTGCTCTTGTTATTACGATCGCGAATTTCGTGCGCGATTAAAATTCCAACAGTAAGATGATGAAGATGATGACGATGACGATGATGATGATGATGATGATGATGATGATGATGATGATGACGATGATGATGATGATGATGACGATGATGATGATGATGATGATGATGATGATGATGATGATGATGACGGTGGTGGTGATGATGATGATGACGACGACGGTGGTGATGATGATGATGACGACGACGATGATGATGAGAGTTTTTGTGTGGTCTACTTCCAATGGCTCGACTCGCTTATCGTATGTTCACTCTACGACCGCTGCGTTTGCTACTGCTGCTTGCTCGTGAAGTTCTCTCACTGTTACTGTAGCTTCACATTAACCATGATCTGGTCATAGAGAGTGTAGAGTGAATCTACTACTACTACCTACTACTGCTGTGGTACTGCGTTCTGTTTGTAGCGAGTGGAAGGAGAATCTATTCCTTTTCAAGTGTCAGCCCACTCACTTTGCTAATATTATAGTACTTTCAGATAAGCAGTACAACGGTGTGACCTGTTACTTGTTCCTACTAACACTGATATCTATATATGTACTAACAATATATAGTTCATGAGAGATCAGTGGGTGTGCGTAGGTAGCGAGTGTAGAGTGATTCTACTACTGCCTGGTTTGGTTCCACTGCATTCGCTAGTAGCGGTCTACGGTCTGGCCTCATGACGGGTGGAGTGAATATAAAGGTTAACACGGTGAGTAGGAGAGTGAGGTTATGGTAAGTTGTGTTGGACGTGGAGAGGGAACAATGGGTTGTGCTATTTCGCCATAGACTATCGAATTGTGTGCGTGTGTGTTACGTTATACACACGAAACCACGCACGCGCGCACACCACGCACGCACGACACCACGCACGCTCGGGCATTAACGCATCAGCGATATGCTCTGTGTTCGGTTAATACGCTAGCCTCAGTAGTGGGAACGTAAACACACCCACTCACGCAGGCCGTTGCTTTTGTATTACCGATCCGCGAATTTCCCCGTGCAGCGGATTAAAATTTCCAACAGTAGATGCATGATGGATCATGATGAGTTGATGCGATGATAGAATGATTGATCGATGGATGATGATGATTGATGTGAGATGACGACGACGACGACGACGACGGACGACGACGACGACGACCGACGACGACGGTGGGTGATCGATGATGACGACCGACGATGCATTGATGAGAGTTTTGTGTGGTCTACTTCAATGGCCTCGACTCGCTTATCGTTATGTTCACTCTCACGGCACCGCTGCCGTTTGCTTACTGCTGCACTTGCTCGTGTAAGCTCCTTCACTGATTACTGTAAGCTTACATTAACCATTGATCTGGTCATAGAGAGTGCTTAGACGTGAATCTTACTACTGCCTGTCGTTACTTGCGTTCTGTTTGTAGCGAGTGGAGGAGAATTCTATTCTTTTCAAGGTGTCAGCCCACTCACTTTGTAATATTATAGTACTTTCAGATTAAGCAAAGTACAACGGTGTTTTTGTGACTGTTATTGTTCCTACTACATCTGCATATCTAATATATGTTACTAACAACTATTATTAGTTCATGCAGATCAGATCAGCTGGGTGTGGTAGGTATAGCGAGTGTTAGAGTGATTCTACTGCTTGCCCTGGTTGCTGGTTCCACTCCACTTCTGCCTAGTAGCTGCGTCTACGTCTGGCTCTCATGACGGCTGTGAAGTGATATAAAGGTATAACATGGTGAGTAGGAGGTAAGTCGTTATGCGTGAGTTGTGTTGCGACGTGCGAGACGGAACAATGGGTTGTGCTTATTTCGGCGGCTAGGGGGGGTAGACTATCGAATTGTGTGCGTCGTGTGTTACGTTATAATGAACTAGCGCTCACATACACACACGGCGGCGCGCACTCACCGCCCCGAACACACGACACCACGCACACACGACACCCACGCACGCTCGCACACCACGCACACACGACACCACACACACGACACCCACGCACGCTCGCCACCACGCGGACACTCACGCACACCATGCCGTCGTTCACATGACCACATACAACACGCACACAATTTCACGCACGCAGCGCACGCTACGCACGCCACGCGCGACGCTACACATACGCACACACACACGCACACTGGCCAAATCATAATTTAATTGAGATGGGATTTAGTTTTAATTCTGAGAAAAAAATGCTGCGTTGCTGGTCGCCGGAGTCGTGTCTCGCATTAGGATCGTGTGTAGGCCTCCGTGAATCATTGCCAGCAGTGCGAGGTCACGGGCCAACCATGTTGCCAGGGGAGAACATAGCTGCCGTTATTTCCGCGTAATTAATCACTCTACCGCCATTGTTGTTAATCGCATTTATGCATTTTTTTATCTTTGCGCCTCCGTTTCGTTTTTTTTACCTATGCTTCAAAGGTTAGTGTGCTCATGCAATTGTTGCTTGTTTGATATTAAATAGCCGCTCTATTTCTATGTTACGATAAGGGGGTTCGGATGTAAATACCGTGCGTTATATAATATTACGTCTGATTACTATTAATGTAATTCCACGCGTTCTTTTTCTTACTGGGGATAAGGTGTGCGTACGTGTGTGGCTAAAAAACTTATGCGCAGTTTTACATTTAAAATAACTTCGTATAATTATAACATGTCCGCGTTTCGCGAGTACACCTTGCTCTCAACATGATCTTTTTCTTAGTGCGGTTAGTTCTAGCCCAATTACGACAAGTAATGCGTATACGCAAGTAATGGTGGTTTTTCTTTAAAATTTATTTGGCCATATCTATCCGTAGTTTGGGACAAGCAGAAATCAGAGGCAAGTTACCAATATTTTACCTGTGTGAATCCAATGTTTGACAGGGATATTGCTTCGAAATTAATTAGATCGAACGATCTGTATTATAAATAATTATTATTGTTATAGTATAAATAATAATAAATAATAGCGCGCTCTATCAAACATAAAATGGTTTGCACGAAAAGAACGGTACAAGTATTTTCTATGCTCGTTCATTAAATCTGACAAATTCTTTGTTGACTTTTCTTGTTCTTACGCAAAACGTACACACACATCAGAATCCTGAACCTCTAAGAACTTGTAAGTTTAGGTATGTGACGTAACATGTTGGAATTAGGACGTGTTGTCCGAGTTCAATTCTTGTGAGGTAACTTTCGAAATATTTTATTATTGTTTAGTAAATTTAACAATAGATTTGTTCTGAAAATATCAGCATTGTAGTTTGGGTGCTAGCGTATCGGCTGGGCTGGTAGCCAATTAATCCCGTGGGTTCAAATCTTGTCGATTACTAAGCGTAAGATTTTCCGTGTGTTGTTAGGCGAAATATAAACAACTTGACATGACTTTTAATCGCGTTGATGTAACATTTGAAATGGCTCAAGTGCATATGGCTTGAGCTCAAGGCTATGCCTTGGCCTAGTTATGATAAGAAATTTTATAAAATTGGAAAATTGATAATGGCCTTGAGGCCCAAGGCCATGCTTGAACTCCTAAGGCACGGAATTAAGAATTGGAAAATTTGCTAAATTGGCCTTGAAGCCAAGGCCATAGCTTGAAACTCAAGCCGTGGAAAGATTGTACTAGAATGGGTTGGTCGAGGCCACGCGTCAAGGTCAGGGTCAAGGTCTCGACAACAACAACTTCTACACAACACTCTACTGAATTCTACTTGCTGCTCTACTGCACGTGTACTTCTACTCTACTATACTGCTCTAATACTCTGTACTCTACTCTACTCTACTGCTGTACTGCTCTACTGCACTACTCTACTCTACTATACTGTTCTACTGTTGTACTGTACTCTACTATACTGCTCTACTGCTCTAGTTTATTTACATCTACTTACTGCGGAGATTCCCACCGCCGCAACCAGTGATTCATGCCACTCTTTTATCCTACCACTTGCTACTCTTTACTGAAATATGTAGAGCCTTTCTTTGCAATTATTTGTCGGGCATCTGTTTTAAATAATCGCCATTACATAAATTAGTACTCTGT